GTATTACTCTCTTAAAACCCGAACTGCTTGAATTCCAATTATACTTTATTCCTACTTTTTTAAATTGACTACTGATTCTCACGCCAGAGATACAATGGGGAAAAAGTCCCGACCTCATTTTCCAGGTAGCATTCACTAATCGGAGTAGCCGGAACACCCTGCTCATCAAGGAGAACACGGAAGTCTATCTCGCTACAATTTTATTGGTGTCGTCCGTAGGAAACCATTGAACAAAAAAAGTTATGTCAACGAGACGGACTAGGAGTGAAACTCTTATGGTCGGAAATACGAAAGAGATGGAGTCATAATCTGTCGCAGTATGTCAAACAGAGCCAATTCAGTACCCTGGAAACTCAATTGGCAACCATGATGGTCCTCTTGCAGAGTCAAATGCAGAAAGCTACAGCCCCACCACAGAACCCGCCAAAGGACGTATGAGAGCAACCGCCCCCAGTGGCGAAAACGATTATCCTGTTGTTACTGAGCCAACAGTGGAAGACTTAGGGATTGTAGGGGTTACATTTTCAACGATTCCTCGACCCATGATAGACTAAGAAAGGAAGATGGAGGAGATAATGGCCTAGAAAATAGATAATGCATTAACTAAAAGAAAGGATACGCGAAGCCAAATGACTTTGGAAGAAGATCATTTTGTACCTGAAATCATGGCAGTTCTCTTACCGAAAGGCTTTAAAAAGTCAATAATAGAAGCATACGATGGAATCACAGATCCGCCTGACCACTTGCGAACCTTCGTTGATTAAATGAGGCTTTGTCCAACCCCAAACGCAGTGATGTACTGGTCCTTTCCCCCGACACTCAAGAGAGAGCCTAGAGACTGTGGGGCCACCGGCACCCGGTCTATAAAGACTTTTGATGAGATTTCCAGAAGTTTTGTAGCATACTTCATGAGCAGCACAAGAAAGTGGAAGATGGCCATTGGATTGATGCATGTTATGCAAGAGAAAGACGAATCTTCGCAGGAGTACTTGGCCAGGCTCAGCCGGGCGACACTTGGTATAAAGGACTTTCAAATGTCTACAGTGGTAAAGCGTTAATGAATGGGACGCGAAACAGGGCCTTTTAAGATGTCATTATCCAAAAACCCCCCAAAAATCGATGCATGACTTGTTGAGAAAGGGTGACAAGTATGTTCAAGAAAAGAAAGCAGATAATGTCACTAAAAATCTCAAAGAGCGATGGGAGGCAGAAAGTCATACGCGAAAGATAGGTGATGAGCGAAAATTATCAAGACAAAGCCAAGAAATTGGCTAGCTCAAAATCACTCTAAGGGCTGGTGATTATCACCAGACCTATATCATACTGCCTCGAAGATCGATCAACACATAGCGGTGAGCAACAAAGTCAAGAAATTGGTTAGCTCAAAATCTCTCTCGACACTGTATGTACCCTAATGCCTCGAAGATCGCTCAACACATAGTGGTGAGAAACAAAGCCAAGAAATTGGTTAACTCAAAATAGCTCTAAGGGCTGGTGATTATCACCAGACCCTGTACCCTACTGCCTCGAAGATCTGTCAACACATAGCGGTGAGCAACAAAGTCAAGAAATTGGTTAGCTCCAAATCTCTCTAAAGGCTGGTGATTATCACCAGACCCTATACTCAACTGTCTTGAAGATCACTCACACATAGCGGTGAGTAACAAAGCCAAGAAATTGTTTAGCTCAAAATTGCTCTAAGGATTGGTGATTATCATAAAACCCTATACTCTATTGCCTCGAAGATCGCTCAATACATAGCTGTGAGAAACGAAGCCAAGAAATTGGTTAGCCCAAAATTGCTCTAAGGGCTGGTAATTGTCACCACACCCTATACTCTACTGCCTCGAAGATCGCTTAACCCATACCGGTGATCAACAAAGCAAAGAAATTGGTTAGCTTAAAATATCTCTAAGGGCTGATGATTGTCACAAGACCCTATACTCAACTGCCTCGAAGATCGCTAAACACATAGCAGTAAGATAAAAGTCAAGAAATGGGTTAGCTCAAAATTTCTCTAAAGGCTGGCGATTATCACAAGACAGTATACTCTACTACCTCGAAGATCATTCATTACATAGCGGTGAGCAGCAAATCCAGGATATTGGTTAGCACAAAATCGCTCTAAGGGCAGGTGATTATCACCAGACCCTATACCATACGGTCGAAGATCGCTTAACACTTGGCGATGAGCAATAAAGCCAAGAAATTGGTTAGCTCAAAATTGCTCTAAAGGCTCGTGATTATCACAAGACCTTATACTCAACTGCTTTGAAGATCGCTCAACACATAGCGGTGAGATACGAAGCTAAGAACTTGGTTAGCTCAAAATCGCTCTAAGGGCTGGTGATTGTTTCCATACCCTACACTCTACTGCATCCAAGATCGCTCAACACATAGCGGTGAACAACAAAGCCAAGAAATTGGTTAGTTTAAAATCTTTCTAAACGCTGGTGATTGCACTAGACCCTATACTCAACTGCTTCCAAGATCAATCAACACATAGCGGTGAGCAGCAAGGCCAAGAAATTGATTAGCTCAAAATAGCTCTAAGGGCTGGTGATCATCACCAGACCTGTACCCTAATGGCTCGAAGATCACTAAACACATAGTATGAGCAACAAAGCCAAGAAATTGGTTAGCTCAAAATCGCTCTAAGGGCTGGTGATTGTCACCAGACCCTATACTCAACTGCCTCGAGATTGCTCAACACATAGCGGTGAGCAGCAATGTCAAGATATTAGTTAGCTGAAAATAGCTCTAAGGGCTAGTGACTATCACCAGACCCTGTACCCTATTGCCTCGAAGATCGCTTAACACATAGCGGTGAGCAACAAAGC